GGGGGCGGGGGGCAGGGGTAGGGATAGGGTTAGGGCTGGGAGGGGCAGCGAGGGGAGGAAGGGGGGCATCGCCGTCGCATTTCTCTGCCGCTCCCCGAGCGGCGAGGGCGGGAGCTTTCCCTGGACTGGAGAGCGGAGGAGGGAGGGGGGGAAACGGGGAAAAAAAACTGAGCCACGCGAGCGCCGTCCACCACCACACACGTCACGTCCCTGCCGCGGCGAGCTCTCCGTGACCCGTTGCCGTGCCTGCGTCTGGCCTCGGGTGTGCGTGCGTGTGGTATGTCGGCCTGGTCGACTGCTACGCTACCCTGCGCCGCCGTCGCCACCGGTCGCCGTCGCCGCGCTCCGCTGGCCACAGATCATCGACGTCCGGGCCACGGAAGGGCGGACTTTAATACGCTTTGCTTTTTGATTGATCGGTCGGTCGATGGAGGCACGGCGTGACGAACGATGGAAACGTCGAGGCGTGTCGTGTGAGAACCCTGGTGCGTGCGTTCTGCGCTTTTCTGGCCGACGGCTCTACTCGTGGTGCACCCCCCTCTTGGATAAGTTTTCTTCTCTTTCTTTTCTGAACTCCCCTCTTGGACACGTTGATGTGTGTGACTTTTTGTCAATTCGCTGGACGCAAAGTTAAAAGAAGGGACATATGGCCCTGTTTGGTTCAGCTTTTATCGACGGATTACGCTGCCGCGCAGCAGAATCTGAATCAAAGGGCGAACCTAGCAGAATCCGATTTCAGAAATCCGCCATCAAAATTTGAACCAAAAGCGGAAGCAGCCCAGGACGTGCTTTCCAAAATCTGATTCCGCTGCGGGCCAAAATCTGAAAAGACTGTATCAGCTGGTTTGACAAATGACCTACATCTTTTTCACATCAGATTTTCTACAGCTGTTTTTCTACAGCAGATTTTTCACAGCTGCTTTTAGAAATCCACAGCCGAACCAAATAAGGCCATTAGGGCGTGTCCAACGCCGACCCGCGACAGGACACGGTATTTGTCCGAAAATGTTGGCCTTAAAAAAGTAGCGGCCGTGATTTGTAATTTGTCTAAGAGCTATAAGCTACTAATTTCCGTCAATGCTACTCATAAGCATTTGGCGGAAAGCTAGCTTTCGCCAAATGAAGTTACTAAGAGCATTTCCAGCCGCGTCTCCAACAGCCCCCAGGTCATTTTTTGGGCGTCGACGTAAAAAAAAGCCCTAGTCGTGCCCCCTAGGACGTCGAAAAGCGCCGGTTCGGCCCGTTTTTGGGCCTGGCGCTCGCAGGCCGAACCCGGCACACTGGGGGGCGATCGGGGGCTCCGGCGCAAGGGAAAAGCGCGGCTGGCCCACCCCGTCAGGTGAAAAGTCAAGTTTTTTTCCCGTCTCGCCTCTCACACCCCGCGCCCTCGGCCGCCACTAGCTGTATCCCGGCGCCGATCGCTGCCCTTCACTGCTAGATAGCCAATCCCCGCCGGAAAAATAGCAGAGTTCGCCGAGGCAGCCCCTCCACCAGCAGCTGGGCGTTTCCGGCCGCTGAGGGGCAGTTTAGCGGCGGGTACACGCCCACCGGCGCGCAAGGTGTTCGGCGATTTGCCTCCCTCGGCGAGATGGCACTACTAGGAAAAAGCCTAGTAGTAGCGCGGGTTAAAAGCTAGTAGTAGCGCGGGTGCCTGCGCTACTACTACGACGCTACAACTAACTAGTAGTAGTAGCGCGGTGCATCCCGCGCTACTAGTACGTGTGTTAGTAGTAGCGCGGGTTCGACACGCGCTACTACTAACTATCTGTAGCGCGTGTCTGTGACCCGCGCTACTACTATTAATTTGAAAAACCAAAAAAAAATCTCAACCCCATGACACGCGCACGTTGGCCGGGAGCAGGGAGATCTCGGCCATGACGCGTGCCTCGTGGAATCCGTCGAGGGCGGACGCGGAGGCCAGCTCGGCGTGGGCTGGGAGCTGGAGGACCTGCATCTTGCCATCGTGCGTGGGGAGCAGCACCTCACGGCGGCCGTCGCCGTTGAGGTCGGCGACGAGCGGCGGCGGGAGGCGGTCCACGTCATGCTTGATCGGGAACCTGTCGTCCGACAGCTGGTACCACGCCTCCTGGAATGAGAAGTCGCCCTCATGCTGCCGGAGGAGGAGGGGGATGGGTCAGCTAGCGTTCCGGATCGAATCGAAGAGGGGGGGAGGAGGAGGGCTGACCTGGAGCAAGAAGAAGACGGTGAAGGCGATGAGGAGGAGGATGCCGAGGTCGCGCTTCCGCATCTTGGCGGCAGCGAGGAGCTCCGGCGACCGCCCACCGGAGGGATCTCAGAGAGGAGGGGGAAGAAAGCAGAGTGTACCAGCGGCGGCCACCGCTGGAGTATGAGGGAGAGACGAGGAAAGTGAGAGAGGGGGAAAGTGAGGGAGAGAGGAGGGATTCGGCTGAGGATACGTGGATTTCACCTACCTCGTACTTAGTAGTAGCGAGGGGTATAAAACCGCGCTACTACTATCAACTTAGTAGTAGCGCAGGTTTGTACCCCTCGCTACTACTATGGAATGTCCCGGGAGGGCACGGTAGAGATCACTTAGTAGTAGCGAGGGTTAAAACCCCGCGCTACTAGTATCAACTTAGTAGTAGCGAGGGGTAAAAACCTGCGCCACTAGTAAGTAGCAGTAGCTAGGGTTATAAACCCTCGCTACTAGTAAGCATCTGCCTATAAGCTTTTCCCTAGTAGTGTGGACTCGGATGACGAGGAAGTGCTCGCCGCGCTGCTGGAGGAGGAAGCCGAGGCCGACGTCCAGGAGGAAGAGCATCTCATGGTGCTCGCCGCCCTCGCCCAGCTGCTGGCGAGCAATGAAAAGCCGCGGCGAGGTGGCTCGGCGCCGGGGCGGGTGAAAGCAAAGAACCGGCATCGTCTCGAAGGCTACTGCATGCTCTACTCCGACTACTTCGCCGGCGCTCCACTGCACGGCGACAAAACATTTTGGTGCCATTATCGGATGAGTCGAAAGCTTTTCCTCAGCTACTTCAAGTGCAAGAAAGATTGCACCGACAAACTTGGATTCACCTCGATCCAAAAGTGCACGACAGCGATGAGGATGCTTGCATACGAAGCTCCCGGTGATTCACTCGACGACTATGGGCGCATGGTCGAGTCCACCAGCATTGAGTGTTTCTACCAGTTCTGTCGGGCAGTGGTGGCAGTGTTTGGACCGCAATACTTGCGAACCCCCAACGCGGAAGACACTGCTCGGATCCTAGCATAGAATGTAGCAAGAGGATTTCTTGGGATGCTTGTAAGCATCGACCACATGCATTGGAAATGGAAGAATTGCCCATTTGCTTGGAAGGGGATGTACAAAGGCGCCAAAGGCGGTTGTAGTGTGGTAATTGAGGCGGTGGCCACACAGGACCTCTGGATTTGGCACTCCTTCTTTGGTATGCCAGGAACTCACAATGACATCAACGTGCTGCAGTGCTCCCCTGTCTTTGCCAAGCTTGTTGAAGGTCATTCTCCTCCGGTGAACTTTGAGGTCAATGGGCGGCACTATAACAAGGGGTACTACCTAGCTGATGGCATCTTCCGTGATGGTCTACATTTGTGAAGACTATCTCAAACACTGTGCCAGAAGGCAAGAAGTCCCACTTTGCCAAGGTGCAGGAGGCTTGCAGGAAGGATGTCGAGCGGGCTTTTGGTGTGCTCCAATCTCGATTTGCTGTTGTCCGCTATCCTGCTCAGACCTGGTCGAAAGATCAAATGTGGGAGATCATGACTTGCTGTGTCATCTTGCACAACATGATCATCGAGAGCGAGCAGGAAGAACCAATGTTTGACATTGAACCATACTACAGGCAGGGTCCTCTAGCCGAAGTTGATCACCAGCTACCGGCAACCTGGGCTGCCTACCTCAGTATGCGTCAGGAGATCCGAGACCCACAGGTGCATCATCAACTACAGCAGGATCTGGTGGAACACCTTTTAAGGCTCAAGGGCGACGACGGGCTCGACGTGTGATGAAATATGAGTTTTTATTTGTTGAATAATATAATTTGTATTGAACTATTTGTCGTTGCACTATTTTGTTGAACTATTTGATTTTCTGTGATGAACTATGTAATAAAAAATATATTTATGTTCATAATTGAACGCCAAGCCACGGCGAACCACGCCGAATATGGGCCGATTGTCGCCCATTTGGGGCCTTTTATTCGCCAAAAGTGGGCCGAAAACTGGGCCAATCTCGGCGCCTGGGGGAAATGACTGGACGCCCAATCGCCCCCAGCGCCGATTCTATCGCCGGCTCGCCCCCAGGGAGCAATTTTTATGCCTCCTGGGGAGCCAACGGCTGGAGATGCTCTAAGCCCCGCCTAATCTAGCAATGACCATCTAATCAAGCATAATTAACACCTTTCGCCAAATGCACAAACATCTTCCACACTACCTTCCCCCAAATGTAATGCAATTAGCATAAAGTCTTCCGCCAAATGTAATGCAATTAGCACAGAGTCTTCCGCCAAATGCTAGCCATTCTGAGCGGACGCAGAGTAGACACGGTACGTGGTGCCTTTTGATTGGCCAGATGGATGTCCGGACTCCCGCAACCCTCCCTCCCTCATGTTTAATCCCAGTTTGCCGAAAAACATGGAATAGACCGCTCGGCGGATCGATATAGGACCGCATTGGATGGCAAACTGTGCTCGGACAACATGGTCCAGATGCTTGGGGGAGGTTTAAGAGTCTGCCTTGGAGATGCCCTTACCTGTCTGACGACGGCGAGAGACGTTTTCCAGCAAACTCTGCTAGCTACAAGATTAAAGGCAACTATTGATAGGGAAAAGCGACAGAAAGTAAAAGAGCAATGGTAGGATTTTTTTGTATTAATGGAAAGTAGACCCAGGACCATAGATTCACTAGTGGCATCTCTCTCGAAAGCATGTAGTGGCATGGTAGACAAATTATTGTTGGGCAATTGACAGAATAAGGCAAATCATAACTATGATCATTCATGGCTGTGGGGACCCCGACTTACATATTTGAAGCCACCGGTTACATGCGCACAGTGATCCCAAGGATCAATGCTCACCGTACACCATACACTG